CACAACTCCCTATGCACAATGGAAGGTAAAGGCCTCAGGCAGCTATGAAGATCTGGCCCGACAGATTATTCACAAGGAAATTCCTTGCTCTCCTCGGGGGAGGGGGCAGCGCTTGTGGCTCAAAGGAGTAGGGCGCTGGCCCCATATGCCAGAGGTGGTGGATTCAAACCCCAGCCTCGGCCAAAAACTGCAAAAAAAATTAGCCAAGTATATTGGTACATGCCTGTAGTCCCAGCTACTCTTGAGGCTGAGGCAATAGGATCACGTGCACCCAGAAGTTTGCAGCTGGAGTGAGCTATGAAAAGACAAGAAAAAGAAATGTTTGCCATGTTTAATATACAAACACCCCTCTCTAGTCCCTAAATCTCTGAGGCAGAATCATAGTTTTGTTGTTTTTTTCAGTTTCAGAATATTATGTGGATAAACATATCTTACATCATTTGTTTTTGTACACTTTAAATCAAAGATAAGAATATGCCCTTCACCCAGAAAGTGTGCCTTGTACCTATCCAGTGTGAATTTACCCCATCATAATGGTAAAATGCAGATTGACCTACTGGGGTTTTTCTGATAAACTAAGTGTTCACCAAAAAGAAACATACCAGTTCTAAACGGTGCTGGAACTGTGTTCTTTTGTTTTTTTAACGGAGCCACACTACACATATTGTTCTTTAGCTATTTTTACTTTATCAGAGCCAGAAGGGTACCACAGGGGCAAATAGAGCTCCGTCTCTAGTAAGTCTGACAGTATCAAAGCTCCTGAGAGCCAAACTAACGGCTAGAAGTGTAGCCGTTCTGAAAATGTGAGGAAACTCTCTGTTTTCAGCCTGGCATCAATTATACTGGAAAGGAGACTTGAGGAAGAGCTGGAGAGCCCCTATAAAAAAGATAAAAATGTGGCTCACTGTTTAGGAAACTACATCTCTCCCATTTTATATTAATTTGAATTTCCAAAGCGATTTATTAAATGGTTTTACATTTTCAGATTTCATTTTCAAATGGTTAGGAAATACCCATAGAATAGTGCTTTGCAAATGTTTTCATCAAAGTATTCCTTCCTGCAGAAGTCAAAAAACTCTGGAAGGAGGAGGAGGGGGTAAAGCCTAACATTTCTTTAAAATCTTTTACTTTAAAAAGAATAAGCACTTCCCATTCTACTTTGTAAGACATCCTGGTTACTTTTACTGAAAAATAATTCCTTAACCCACTTGAGGAAAAACTGCCACAGGATTATGGAAAGGGGGACACATTCATTGTGTGAGTGTAGGGAGGGCAGCTCAGTAGCGAGAAGGCTGTGCTCGCCCCTGTTTTAGAGATAACAGAGCTGGAAAGCCCCCAAAGGCTGGGTTCTTATGGATGAGGCAAGTGACTCGCAGAGGAGTTGAGGAGAAGGCACAGGAAATGCACAGTCTAGGGGCCCCCACAGACCTGGGGCAAGATCCAGCCCGGGGCCCCAGGGCCTTGCTGCTGCTTCTCTTTTAAAAGACTTTGCATAATGGAAGTAGTATCTCCTCGTTGTAATACTCAAAGAATTAAGAATTATATGAAATAAAATAAAAAGAGACTCTTCACCCACATCGCAGGCTCCCCAAATCCCTTCCATCTGAAATAACCACAGTTCCATCTGTAAAAGAAAATCAGAATCTCAAGAGCACCCCACAACTCCCTATGCACAATGGAAGGTAAAGGCCTCAGGCAGCTATGAAGATCTGGCCCGACAGATTATTCACAAGGAAATTCCTTGCTCTCCTCCCATAAGCAAAATGCAAATTGTCACTTGAGGTCGGCAGATACATCTAGCTCTTAAAACTAAAGTGTATTCAATTCCACGCTAATAATGACTTAGAAGTTTATCTTCCTGGGTGCAGGACAGAGAGGAGACAGGATCCGACATTCTTCCACCTACCCAAGCACATCTACACGGTTGATGCTTCCTTCACTCCTTTTTCTCTTCCAACATTTGCCTTATCTCTGTAAAATGTAGATTTTCCTGGGTCTCAGAGGAACGTAACCAAATCCCTCCTTTTTTCTTTCGAAGTGCTCTATCTCCCTATAAATACTGAAGCTCCCAAATTCCTCTTTGGAAAAAACAGCCACAGATTTGTCTATGGTTTGGGTTTTTCCCAGGTCTACCTTGGCTTAATAAACCTCCGTAGTTTTAGAGTCTTGCCTCACTTATTTTGTGTTGTCACGTCCTTGGGCAATAACTCCCTAGGACTTTTTCTAAGCACATATAAATACATACTTCACTTGAGGGGTTCTTTTGTTTCTTTAATGGAGCCACACTACACATATTGTTCTCTAGCTGTTCTTCTACCTTTATCATGGACACTTACAGCTCTATCCAGCCTTTTTAAAGGCTGTATCTTGTAGTACTGATAAAACAATGTATTTGTATTCTCCCCAAGTTAAGCATTTTGGTTACTTGCAATTCTTGCCATCATAAACAATGCTATAACAAACATCCTTGCAATGTGCTCTCCCCCTCCCCCTGTGCTAGTATTCCCCCCACACACACACACACACAAGCTTTTGAGAAAATGTTCTAGCACGATATTTAAAAGTCTGCAATCTGGTAGTGGGAAAAAGAATCCATAAATCTTGAGGATGGATTGTATCTGAGAGGTAGAGGAGAGGTTGAGACTGGAATATGTCCAAAGAGAAGGGACCAGTTGGTACGCGGCTTAGTTTCCTGCTTGAGAGACCAGAGGCCCTGGGGTCCTACTGGCCTTGCTGTACTGGTGAGCTCTATGACCTTGGACAAATCACTTACCCCCTCTGAGTCTAGTTTTCTTTATCTCTGAAAGTGGTTAATAATACAGTCTACCTGGCTAGGCACCTGTAGCTCAAGTGGCTACAGCACCAGCCACATATGCTGAAGCTGGCGGGTTCAAATCCAGCCTGGCCCCCCCAAATAATGACATCTACAACAAAAAAATAGCTGGGCGTTGTGGCAGGTGCCTGTAATCCCAGCTACTTGGGAGGCTGAGGCAAGAGAATCACTTAAACCCAAGAGTTGGAGGTTGCTGTGAGCTGTGACACCATGGCACTCTACCCAGGG